GTTTGCACTAACATTATAGGTACAGTGAGCTACTCTCATTTGTTAACTGGTGACTGGGGACGCTCTGACAAGTCAAGTTTCCAGATGCCAGACAAAGTCCAACCATGCAAGCAGGCCTTTCTAAGGACAGCAGTCTCTAGGCTGCTGGGCTAATGCTTTCCTATAGACTACTTTTTAAATAACTTTAAAAAAAATAACTTTAGAAATATTTGGTCCACTTCCACTGAGGTGAGATTGTGCAGCGTCACACTGATACGGATGAATTTTCAGGCATTCGGTGGTTATAAGTCTCTGCCTTCAGCTTTAAGTCATGATGATGAGAAAAGAAGCTGCCTTTGGGCTTGGTTTATGTTCTTGGAGTTGAGAATGAGGTGATGGCATGTGTCCTGCCTCCCAGATGACCATAGTGCTCATACTAACTCAGTCCTGAAGAGGGGTCTGATTTGGTGACTGTGTAGGTGGCGCCTCTATCCTCTGGGCAGGTCGGCTGTGTCAAACCATAGTTATCTCTAAATACATATTCATGCATAAGCGGGAGTGAAGTCGTCTTTACCAAGTGCTCACATGGTTTAACACACCATCTGGTTTCTTCACTCCCTACAAGAAAAAATGCCCGCCAATCTTGGCCCACTTTCATACACGGGAACATAAAGGCTAGGTGTGTCATTTCTTTATAACCCCATTTTGATATTATCAACTAATTCAGTCACCTCAGCACTCAGTTATCCTGTCCGTGAAGCAAGTCCTTGAGCCTTCCTCTAATGGTGGGCTTTGAGACACACATTGCCTTCAAGACCACTGCTTTCTTCACTTCAGAAAGTAAACGCCCTTTTTAGGTCCTAGATGGGCTTCATTTTAGATAACACTATCAGGTATCAAGTATTACTGAATTTCTATTGAAATATCTGCTAAACAGCAAGGAAGAACGGAAGCGTCAGAGAAAAGAAGTAGTTGATTTGTGTGCACAATCCACCTGTATGATATAAAATTAAAAGCCAAAAGGGGATGATTCATACATATTGTTATTAATTTATGTTATTTGTAATGCTGTCTTTAGTTTTATGGAATGATTTTGTAATAACATGTGTATGTTTTGAAAACCTGCACCTATGTTAGGGGCTTCCTGACATTTTAAATGGTTTACTCTAAGTGGCTGTTTTATTTTTTGACTGTTAACTAGTTTTAGTTGTTTGCTTTTTCTCCTCGTTTTTACTAGTCTGCTAGAGTTGTCCTGAAATAGCCGTGGTTTATTTGTATTCATTTACAAAACCGTTGCATGCAAACCTTTTGTTTCTGTTTATTGTGTCCACGTGAATGAGCTGCATGCTGATGTGTAAATTCTGAATGTCATCTCAAACACACACACACACACACACACACACTCTCTCTCTCTCTCTCTCTCTCTCTTTCTCTCTCTCTCTCTCTCTCTCTCTCTCTCTCTCTCTCTCTCTCCTTGAAAACAAAAATAAAAGGAAACAGAAATATTTAAGTAAGCTGGCATACTCATGAAGTATAACAAGTGTGTTTACACATACAGTTTTCGAAGTTGGCTTACCATGTTAAAGGGAGCTCATATAGCATTTTCTTTAATCTTGTCATTTTCTCAGTGAGTTTTCATATATTTGGGTGGCATGAGATAAATACATAATCTGAAAAAAATATGTAATTATACATGCTCCGATAAATACATGATTTCATTTCCATCCTATGAATACTGTTCTTCCATGTTTTATCATTCAAACTTGTGGTTTTCCTATTTTGGACATGTTTTTTCTCATCCTAGGACATATAATCAAAAGGTTTTCTTAGAAATATTTTTCTACATTTCCATTTTGATTCAGTTACCAAAACCAAAGCGCCCGTATTTGAAACCTTGGGCTGATGTTTATTGTAGCATAGGGATCACGGTCATCATTCCAGTTGTGAAATGTGGATAACACTTACATTTTGGACCTTTTTTTGTTTTAGAAAATGTAGAGGATAGTACTGACGAGGATGCACCTTTAAACAGCCCGGGATCAGAAGGAAGGTAAGAGAGCCTTTGGAAACTTAGTAGATTTTACTTGTTTCTGTAATATTTTTAGTACTTTTGTCTTGTTGCTTCAAACAATTACCTTTATAAAACAAGTAATTTTAAATTTTATGGGTACATGAATAGCACTAGAAACAGTAATATGGAAACCACACTAAGTCATGTTTAACCACCACAAATATTAAAATAAAAATATTGGAATATTTAAGGAGGGAAAATGAATTATTTTTTAATTACTTCATTTTGATTTTTAATATTATCCTTTTTTTTTCCATAGATAGGCATATACATTTTTTTCCACAGTTGTAAACATGGAGGACATACAGTTTGGATAATAAGTTCCCTTTCAAATTGTTTTTATTAAAATGTATTGGGGTGACAATGGTCAACAATACTACATCAGTTTCAAGGGCACAATTCTATAATACATCATCTGTATATTGTATTGTGTCTTCACCACTCAGAGTCAGTTCTCCTCCATCACCATGCATTTGACCCCTTTACCCTCTTCTACCACCCCCAAGCCCCTGACCCTCTGGTAAAGTTCCCTTTTAATTTTGTGGTTAATTATTTATTTTCAAATAGCACGCTGTCTTCAGACCTTATGAAGCTTTGTGGTGAAGTGAAACCTAAAAATAAGGTAAGGAGGATTGAAAAGGCCAGGTAAACTTTTTTTTTTTTCTTGCTGTTCTTCTGTTATCACTGTTAAATATGTGGCTGCAGGCTTGACCCTTGATAGGTTAACAAGTAGGCATGCTTTTACCAAAGCTTTCATGTGTGAGAAATTTCTTTCTTTAACATATTCCCCTTTGAAAAAATTTTATATTGAAAATTTTCTCCTTCATGGAACTTTCACTTTACTGTAGTCTTCTTCTTTTACTTTTTCCACTAGATAATTACAGAGACCAATTTTTGTTTTCTTTTTTTTTTTAGGTTTCTTCTAAAAGTTTATTACCCATTAAGGAAGTTATGCTAATTTATTAAAGTTGCCTGAAGTTTATATTAATATAGGAGATGGTCACAAATTACTAGACAGTAGTAATTTAGAGCAATTGGTTAACTAAATTGTAGACCTATAGTGGCCTATAATATAAATCCTTTGAATTGGTGGGAGATTTTTGAAATTTTAGCATGCTTGTATGTTCTGAAGTGTTTCATACTTTGTTTAACTAGTAGTAGCCTGAAGTGGTTTGAATAATAAGCCAACTTTTTATCATCATATTGTATTAAAAACTAATGAGGCTATGATGCATATTTGTAAAGTTCAAAAAAATATATAAATGATACACGTTGTGAAATGTGTAAGATAAACATGGTACATGTCAGATTGAATGTTGGTAGCATTTCATACTAGAGGGATTAACTAAGCATTTTAAGATGTTTGAAAACAAAGAACTCTTGCAGTGCTTAGTAAATATTTGAATGGATAGGATCAGGACCTGAAAGAATAATACTGTGCAAATGGACAGGACGAATTTAAGGCCTTTAGGGGTTAGTGAGGTAATGTAAATGAGTAATTTGGCTGGATGTAAAATCATACATCGGGGTCGTTATGACAACCTGAAGAGGACATGCCCCATCTAAAGCAAATGGCCAACTCTTGCTCATTTTTGCCATGTTGGAATATGGGCCTAACATAAACAGGTCCTTTGGTTTTTGAAGAGAAGCCTTAAATATGGATTTTTATGTAGAATTTCCTTGTCTTTAAAACACTGGGCAAGCCAATCAAAAAACATCTCTAAGCTCGATGTGTGGTTTTCGGAGCTGCTGGCTTAGGGATATGTAGCTTGTTTTCTAACTGAGTGACTAAGCGGAAGTTACCAAAACTCAAAGAAAAGAAAACATTCTTGTATTATTTGGATCCAGTCTTAAGCGGAGGAAAGAATCTCTTAAGGTAACATGCATCTTTCAGGCCTGTGAGCCTCATTATTCCTGCCCTGTGGGACATCAGAGAGAGATGTAAAATGATGGCCTAAATGTCATCTCCTGAAAGAGCCACTGTGTTAGGAAGCCCCAAGAAAAGGAATCTTCTCTTCCCTGGGCCATTGGAAGTGGAGAGAATTAACAGTGTAAAAGAAAATGGCTGCAGGGCTTTCTCTTCCCCAGAGTTTCCTGAAATGCTACCTACTACTTCTTTGGAACTGCAGAGATGCCTGGAAGGATCTCATGCCATTTCTTTTTCCTTATTTCAAAAAGATGACCTTGACTATTTTTTAAATAGGTGTGTACCAGTACTCTGTTAAGTGCAGGGGATATCAAGTTGAATAAAACAGGTGCCTGCCCTACTAGAGACTTACAATCTAGTAAGCACCATGATTATCTGTTAAGACCTTAATGATAACACCCCTGAGCAACAACAGGGTAGTTGCTTGGTTTCAAGAGTAAGGAAGAGAATGCATACAGTGAGTTTAGATGCTAGGAAAATGACCTTCACCTGCCTCTTCATGACACCGAAAGCTTGTGCAGTCTGGTGTTAAATTATCCAGCAGACAGATTAAACACATAGATAAGGCATCAGTGGAACAGCATAACAAAATAGAGAAAGAGATGTAAACATTGATAGTAAGGTATAATTTAAAATAAAATTAAAATTGATATTGAATAAAGCATCTAAGCATAGAAAAATTTTAGAATTTAGTTGAGCTTTCCTGGAATTATATTTTGTGTTAATTACTTTCTTCTTTCTTTCTCTCTTTCTTTCTTTATTTTTATTTTATTTTATTTTTTTATTATATGCTGAGGGAGCTGGCCATGAGTGGCAGGATAGTACAGTAATATTGGAGGTAGATTGCCTGGTTTTGAACCAGGCTTTGTCACTTACGAGCTGTGTGACTTTGGGAAAATGACTTAGCTTTTCTGTGCCTCCATTTCCTCAGTTTTGAATTAGGATAATGATAGTACATGCTAATATAATCAAGTGTGTAGAACAATACCTGGCATACAATAAGTACAATACAAATGCTGACTGTTATTATGGCCTGTAAAATCCTTATCTGGCTATAGCTCTGGCTTGTCACCATCTTACATACTATGTTTGATACCCTTGCTAGGAAAAGATACGCTACATGTTTTTACCTATTTCAAACTAATATTAAATCTCTATTTTCTGATCATCTCTGCGCAAGTTTGCCCCTGATTGTTTTTCCTTCCTTCCATTCTCTGACTAGGCCCGAAGGAGAACCACCACTCAAATGGAGTTGCTGTATGCAGATAGCAGTGAACTAGCTTCAGACTCTAGTGCAGGAGATGCCTCCTTGCCTGGCCCTCTTCCGCCTGTTGCAGAAGGGCAAGAGATTGGAACGAATGCAGACACAAGTGGTACCTGTGCTAGGGAAAAAGAACTCCCTCCCCCACCTGGCTTCCCTTCTAAGATAGGCAGCATGTAAGTCTGGCCCAGCTACACTAACTTTCTTTCTTTTGGCTTTTCTTTTCTTTTTATTAAATATGCATGTTGCTAATTCCTTATTTCTATTTTTTTAAATGTATGTAAATATGACCTCTGGTTTTCAAAGTCATTTTTGTTAGGTATTACCTCACCTAATTTAGGGGACATTCGAAATCATTTGAGATGAGATGTTCTTTGTTGAATTGCATTGTCTTGTTTCTCAGTTTTAGGGTAACTTATGGAATTATAAGTTTTATAAAAGCTGATATATGAATTACAGATAAAATGTATTTAGAAACCCCTAAATTGAAGTTATACCGATAAAACCATTATATAAAACTGAAGCCTTAAAACTCTTAAATTTTCTCTAAATTATATATGTCCCAGTTCTAAGAGCCTGGTTGGGATACTAAACCTTTCCTGACCCTTTAAAAAGAAAAAGAGAAATATGAATTACAAACAATACATTTTGTGCTTTCCTAATTCTTTGCCTTGAAGCACATTACATGTCTGACATACATGTACACACAAAGTATTTTCATTGGTATTATTAAAAATTTAAAAGAGGGAATATTCTCTTTCCCATTTATGATAATCTTAACAAAAATTATTCTATTCAAAACAAATCTTATTTAGAAATTTTTCATTATTATCTTGAGGACAAATAAAGATTTCCCTAGACAGGCCAGTATGTGTTGTATGTTGTGTGTGTATGTGTGTTTTGAAAGTTGTGTTAAAATTAGACCATTCACTGATAAAGATCTTTAATGATGTTTTTCAAACTAACCCTCACACATGATCTAGCAAATGATTTATAGGGTGAATACATCACAGCATTGAGAAATATTGCCAAAAAGCAGCACATGCTATATGACTCTGCAAACAAAACATAACAAACTGTCACCCTTTGAATATCTCTGTTTTCCATAACTTTCTTCATTTTATGAAGATAGTTCCATGGTCTTCCATTCAGTAAGCCCATCTGCAACCTTTAATTCCAAACTTAATTTTAATGATGACAGAACTTTCTTGCACGTGCTTGAGATGGCCTATGTAATTAACTATTGGATTTGCTATTCGAGATTGCTAACCAGCATAGCTTGTGGCTTCAGTGCATTTTTGATAAGATCACAATAGAAGAAATGCTTTTGGCGAAGGTAGTAAAATAGAGCTGAGGACAGGTTTTAGGAGCCCACATACATATGTTCAGCATTTAGTCTGTCAGATGAGTAGAGACTTTTGGAACTTCAAGACTAAATCTATGGCCTGCAATCCAGATTCAGGTAATACCTTCTTTTTGCCTTTTTATTCATTTAAAAAAATATATCCTCTTTGACAAGTAGAAAATATCTTTTGGACTTTCTCTTCACATGAATTATCTTTAAGTTTTCATAAATTCAGATGCTTGTGTAATTCTGTACAAATTTAAGAGCTGGTCATGCCCTTGCTACAGGAACTCTTAAGCCATTTATTGCGTGACTTTCATGCAGAAGGTAAAATGATTTACTCACGTGGCCCTTATGACTTAATTGATGCAGAATTTCTAAAATTTGATTTCCTTTGATTAGAGAAAGTAGGCACACAAAGTTTAATTATACTTAGTTTTCACTTTTAAATGGGAATCATGTAAGCCCTTTCTGGGGATCTTGCTTCCCAGTTCCTCTGTGGATTTTTTTACTTGTTAATATGACTAGCTAAGGATAGCAAAAATTTATTTTTTCAATTAAAATTTGTTACCGCCATACATAAAATTCATAGTCTTAAATTGTCAATTACATAGCCACTATTCAACATTTAATATTTATGAAGGAAGAATATTTTAATTCTAAAAATATGTTAGTTACAAATTTAGTAAAATAGTTAATTAAAATAATTATGTGTTTTTTTTGCGATTACCTATAGCACTGTTTTGTTGTGACTATGTCTAAATATAGTTCATTAAATCTCATTGTTTCTCATATCCTGATATTCTAAAATTTTGTTCTTCTAAAATGGTAAAAATAATTTTTCTTCAGCGGAAGCAATTCTGATCAAACTTAAAACACTTATTTTTAAAATAAAATATTTATTGTAGTTAGTTGGCAGTATAGCATTGACTTTTATATTCAAAGATAATGGGTTTGCATGTATTTGATAAGATTACTAATTTAAAAATTCAATATATAGTTCTTAAGCTTTCATTAACTAGAAATAACCCATGTAATATTCTCCTATCCTAGTTTTATTTTTTTGTTCCCGAGAAAACGTCCTCAAGTTCCAGTTATTAATCTATTAAAAATTTTAGGTTGACTATCTGACAAAGAAAGTTATATGTGCATTTTAAAAATGAGATGATTACAGAATCTTTTTCTATTTTAGTTCCAGACCATCATCTCTATCAGAAAAAAAACTACCAGAGCCTTCCCCTATAACCAGGAGAAAGGCATATGAGAAAGCAGAAAAATCAAAGGCCAAGGAACAAAAACAGTAAGTTGCTCATAATTGTATCTATTAGATTGTGTAACATGCCTGCTGCCTGTGGATACTAAAGGACAATAGTAAAATTATTCTGTAGATTTGGGCTGGCCCTGTGCCTGTCACTGATTTGACTAATGAAGGCAATTGGGTCAGCTATTGGCTTGGCTAAGTGGTCTTCTAAAGTTCTTGGTCACACACACCTGTATAAATATTTGAGCACTTGTCCCCAATCATGTACTCTTAACGTATTTTTCAATCACTTGTGTATATTATTATCAGAGTTAATATACACTTGAGGAGAGTTTTATTAAATGTATAGTTCAACTAATCTTCTAGGGAAATTTGAAGTTAATTTTGGCTGTCACCTGATGAAACTGACATGGACTTTACCTCTTTAAAGGGGTTGACAAAAAAACCCCAACAACTTAGAGGGTGTGAGTTGTGCCATTTCCTTGGTCTTCTTTTGTGTTTCAATTGGTATTATCAATGGTTTTTTTGTTTTGTTTTGTTTTTGATGAAATCTTTTAAAAGCTATTAGTATGTTTTGTGAGGGTGAGTTGACTTAACAATGACAACATGACCCACTTAGCTGGGCGTTTGTAAATTGCAACACCACAGCATGCAGAAAGGTGAATGAATGGGCTACAGCCACTGTCACCCTCTGCTCTGTGGCACGCCTACTCCTCCCTCAGGACACCTAATGAATTGCATGTGGCAGGTGGATCTTTGACGTGGCCTTGACTGACAATGCCAACGTACCTTTAAATATTGGTAAAGAAAATTTCTTTAACATAAAAATAAAGATAAAAGGAAGTTTTCGTATATTTTCTGTACCTAAGTGGACAACCTTATACCATCCCCCTTCCCTGTGCACGCTCTCTACTTTGTCCACTGGTTTAGCTGACTTGAATATCATGGCAATTATCCTTCTAATCATCCTTGCTTCCTGTATTTAAAGATGTAATTTGCCTGTTTCTACTGATTCAAATGTCTCAAGAATAATTGGGAGATGGGGAATGGAGTAAATCAGTAATTTAAAAATAAATGAATGAATTATTTGAGTAGGCAAATTACTCTTTAACTCCCTGGATCTGTTTTCTTGCCTGTAAAATGAGGAACTTGGTTTCAGCTCTAAAATTGTATAATTTTAAATTTCGCTTGCTTTATTTGTCCTGACTTTAGGTTTCAGCAGATACAACTTTTCTTTAGTGCCATCTCGTGGCCAATGTCACAAAATTCAGTGGGAAAAAATGTTTTAATTACATTGTTCAGAGTGCGTTTTATCTTACAAAAAAAGAAGAGAAGAAGGAAGGAATGAAGAAGGGAGGAAAGAAGGAAGAAATTCTCTAATGACAAGCTTTTTTTTTTTTTTAAAGCATGTTTCATGTAACATTCCTAACAAATCATAACCAATTAATGTTCCACCCATTTAATGTTCTTTTTTTCTTGTAGCTCAGACTCTGGAACCTCAGAGGCTAGCCTTTCACCTCCTTCTTCCCCACCAAGCCGACCCCGTAATGAACTGAATGTTTTTAATCGTCTTACTGTTTCTCAGGGAAACACATCAGTTCAGCAGGATAAGTAAGTCATTATGGAAAGGAGCCCCAACTATTTATTCTGACAGTATTCTGAACCTTTCAATACAATGTGTAGAAAACATTTAGCCATCTCTTTCTGTGGGAGATGGAGACTGACTTGTCCACTCTCTCCCTATTTTATGTGTTTGTCCAACAGGAAATGAACCACATAGACAAAATCACTGAACATTATTTTCCTGCTGAACATTATTCCATTTTGTAGATTTGCATTACTATATGTTCAGCACTTGTCTTGCCTTTTCTTTTACATTAGAACTGAAAATAACTTTGAGAACATTTGAAGTTTAAATTTCTTGGGATGCTTCAGCTTCTACGAGCCCACAAAAGCCTCTAATCCAGATAGCCTGTGTTGAAAAGAGGCAAATTATTTTTGATCTTTGGTGGATAGAACAGCCTACAAAGACCATTATTATATGGGTAACATGTTATTGTCATTTGGTTGTTCTGTACAAATCCACCAGAAAAGTTCACTAATTGTGCTCTTGGAATAAAAGAGTACCTTTATGAGTGAAGGGATAGGACTGAGGGTGGGTTGTTGGGGAAGAGAAGTTGGAAGGGTGTGGAAAATACTATTTTCATTAAATAGTGAAAAAGTATTCTCACATTGAGCCAGAACCTCTCTTGTTCGGTACTAACAATGCTGCCATAAGGTATTTATTAACTCAGACTTATCTGCTTTGCCTTTGAATGATAACATTGTATATGTAAGTAGTTGATAGCCTGTCTCCCACCCCAATTATTTGTTTTCTGTGCTATAATCTCTCTGTTTATATCAACAATTTCTGAAATTAATAGGATTCTGCTTAAGATGTCTGGAGTGTTTAGATCATGGTAAATGGCGCTATAGACTTAGAGAAACATACTATCATTTTGAAATCATTTTTAATCTACTTAATTTATGGGTAAAATACTTGATTAGATTTTAAAATAGTTTAATCAGTAGATGATGCATCCTTTAAATTGATCTACATAGGTAAATATTATGTGTTATTGAAAAAAGACTCTAACATTGTTAAATCATACCTCTCATTTAATTGAGAAAAGAGTAAATCTTAGGGATGTCTTTGGGAAGTCCATTTTCACTAGTGGTGTGAAGAATTGCTAAATCGTGTTTGCCTTGTGTTCTCAATCATAAAGTTTTCTGTCAATCTTTTGATAATCTTGACAAACAAACCATAGTTCCATATCTTTTACTGAAATATTTTATAAGCTACTAACAAATGACTGTTGTCATTTCTGTAAGTTGCCTTAAAATAACTGACCACTCTACACTTTCTAAAACTCAGCTACCTTTTGAATCACTTGCTTTGGGGTTCCTTTTTAAGACTAACATGTTTCGTCCACTGGATGTAGATCCCACACATTATTTCTGCTTCCAGTCCATGCCAGCAGCACTTACTCCATTCTCATTGTCAACAGGCTTATTATACAAGCTAAACAGATTTTCATAACCAGACTCACTGCCAGTCCTAGAGGGTATAGGGTAGGGCTGACAGGAGTGGGTCACCTATTTTTCAAATCCCACTGAAGCTCCCCAACTATTATTGAGTGATGCCCTGGTCAGAACTGCGTGTTTTTGAGATGTTAAAAATCAAAGATTATTAAATTATGAGTGATTTGTTTTCCTTGCAAACATGTAATGTATTTGGGCAACTTCCACAGCAGAGTCTAAATCTAAAGTAGTTATCAAGATGAATAAAATTCATTAATACTTATTGAAATGAGCAATTTTGTCTGGTACTAGTCAATTAAATACAATCTTGAAGTGATGTATTTTACTTACTTGATATTGTTCCTCTTCGGAGACTACATTTTAGAAGTGAGGATAGATAGATTCTGTGGATCAGTAATAGAAAGGTTTTTCCCAAAGTCTTTGTAGAAAACATAAGAATCAAATATTTTACCTGATTTAACTCTGCATTGAATTTGCTGACATCCAGTGCAAATAGAAAAGCAGGGTGCTATAAAGGAAGCATTTGCTATACTTCTATTATTCATGCTGTTAATTTTCAGTTCAATCTCAGTGTCTTTACCTGTTGACACCTGTATCCTTTATCCTCATAATTCTAACTCTTTCACTGTAGGTCTGATGAAAGTGATTCCTCTCTGTCGGAGGTACACAGGTACTTTCTTTCTAACTTTTCTATATTCTGGCATTTCATGACGTTCTAAAATGCCTTCCTAGAAACTCTAAGCAAGTCTTGTTTTTGTTGCATGCATAACTTGTTGTAAACCATACAGATGCACTAATGTTTTTACACATATTAATTTTAATATGTTTTTGTGATATATGTTTTAGAAAAAGTAGTGGCAGACGTGTTTTGCATAATATCATTTTGATATTTGTTTTCTATCTGTAATCTAAATCTTCTCTTTAAAAGAATTAAGTTCTATAATATTGATTTCAAAAAGTTTTGCTCTTCAGTGATTAAGTATTTCCAATACCTTAGAGTGCGGGAGGTGAATACAGTGTATTTTCTTGTTTGTTTAGCAATTTTAAATAAAAAGTTTATGGCAAGTTTTGTGATGAAAAGAAGGTATACTAGAAAGAAAAAGGATACTATGGTACTCCCCCCCAAAAAAAAGGAAAGAAAGAAATCGACTGTAGAAGAGCTTTTTACTTTTTTTTTTTTTTTTTACCAATAGATGCTATTTTTAAAATAACAATGTTGAGTTTTTTTCATGCTGTGGGTTTGTTTGGACCCTTAATTTCTCTTTCTTCCTCTCTATCATTTCCTCTTCCCACTTACCATATGTATTCTCTCTTTTCGCACTCGTTTCCCTGTTTTATGGCCATTTTGCTGATCATCAGTAGATCCTCCAGAAGGTAGGCGGGGGGGAGGGAAAGGAAATTAATCTCATTCACAGTATATTGCAAGACTTTTCTGGTTTGCATGGAACAATAATCAGTGCTTTTCTCCTTCAAATCAAGCCTGTTGTATAAGTTTGCAACATTTAAAGAAACTATTTTAAAGTTGATTTTTCTGTTTCATAATGTGAATAGATAATTCTAATAGAGAAAGAAGTACCATGGATGTATGTTTCCAAATTCTAGGTTTTTGAAATTGTCTTTGGTGTAAGGTAATATATATATATATATATATATATATATTAACTCTACTATCTGCATATTTGAGAGTGCTTTTCAGTATTTAATTAATAAAATGCTATATTTAATGTTGAGATTAGTTTTCTTCAGAAGTCTGAGTAATCAATGATATTAAAATACATAAGAATGAAAAAGAGGCTCACCAGGAGCTGTGCCATCAATAAGTCACTGGAGGTATATGTTTACTGAGTGCTTTTGTAATATTACAACCTTTGACATGACAGAATGGTATTGGATGTTATATCATCAGGGGAACATTTAATAAATTCTTGATTGACAGAATAGTTTTGGATGTTGCATCATTGGGGAACATTTAGTCAATCCTTATGATAAAGCTAAGAATCTGAAGGAAGGGAATCTTTGGAGACATAGTATCACACAATTGAGGCAACTGTATTTTTTCTTAGGATGACTTGTGTCGTTAAATGCTGATCAGAAACAACTCTTAGACTGTAGACAGCGTGTTGGAATACATATACATATATTTTCTGCTTGAGGTGTAACAGTAGCAATTGACTGTGCATTGGATCATGTCTTTTCAATATTTTAAGCAATAGTTACAATTTGATGGCTTCAGTTCATAGCTATACCCTTCACATCAACAGGATTTCAAAATGTCAGATTCAGACTTTTGAGAAGGTTTTGCTCCCATTTTATTTTTAATCTGGTTAAATTCTTACCTTACAAACAAGTTACTGAGCACAAATTTCAAGGATCTCAAATCAACATACACATGCAAATAATAGCATTAGACTGTGTACTTACAAAACTAGTGATAACAATTTCTGATATTATTTCTAGTGATGAAATCCTTTTACTTTTTGAAATCATTATAACTAGACCCTAAAAATGAAGTTTTTCTTTTTTTTGTTTTTCTTTCTGAGCTTAAATATATCTCCTTTAAATTTCTATTTATTGGTCTTTCATCAGTCTTCTTGAGCTATACCTGAATTAATCTAGTACTTCTTTTGGTGTGTATGTGTCAGTTCTTTAAATAGTCAGCCCTTTAACTGTGCAATTGTGTCTTCTTCTCCAATGCATGTTCTTTTATCAGCTCAATAGGTGTAGTCTCATCATCTGTTCCTTATAGGATATTGTCTACATATTCTTCACTCTGCTTCCACTGTTTTGGAAAGTCTCCAGTTTTTCAATGTTGTTCTTAAAATGTGGCATCTAGAACTCAACCCCATTCCAAAGGTAGCTTTGGCAAAGTGTAGTAACACCATTACTGTCTCCTGAAATATTTACTTCTATTGAGGAAGTCATTGAAAGTGTTGCGAGAGGAACCATAAATTGTTGATCTCTTGATCTTGTAGTCAATAACTAAATCTCTGTAGCTTTTTAAATCTAGGCTACTCTTAAGCCCCTTTCCTACTTGAAGCATTCTATTTTCGACTTAAATTTTATGTTTAAATTTTATTCAATGATTATTTTAGTGCTAAGTACAGACTTAGAATAAATGAATTTTGTTTGTCGTTTTTCTAGGCAGTACAGCATAGTAGCCAGTTCTTTAATAGATCAGTTTAATGAACAGGGCATCTCTGGTTCTTTAGGGTTAGAAACAGATTGATGAGATTTTGAAGACCTACTTCCAGACTATTGATTCTTTAGGTGTGACTCCAAGCACCAATGGAACTAGGTTACTACAATAGTTTTGTGCTTACCTACCATGTCCACAAGGATTTGAAAGGCTTATTTTATGGGTTTTATTGGGCTCAACATATATTGTGAATATAACATTCCTCCAATTTGTTGCCAATCACCCTACAAAGAACTTCCTTCATGAGATTATGGAGCTTATGTTATCACTTATTGATAAGAATTTATTTTTAAGTGTTTATAATGATTTTACTCATCTGTAATTTCTGAAATCCCTTTCTTCCTCCTTTTTGGAAAATTGGGTCTACATGTTTTGTCCCCTTTCTTAATCTTCTTACAGTACCAATGGAGGTACTGTAGTGATTTTGCTCCTACAATGGCATATACTTTCAAAAGCCTGTGATACAATGATTTAAAAACAGCAATACTTGAACTCATTGAATAAATCTCCATTTGCAGCTCTAATTTATCTTGAGTTTATATTTCTTCTTCATCATTTCCGCCCTTTGCATTTTGAAGATTGTTTTCTTTCATCAAGAAGATAGATGCAGTATTGTTTTATGCCTGTATTTGTCCTAATATTAGGCATCTATCTTATGTAATAGATGTACTTCACCATAATTTTTCTTCTTGCTCATCTGGCTGATATATTTATCTTGCCTTAATTCATTCTCATCTTTAATCTTCCCAACACAATTCTTTTAATTCAGATCCTGTTTTAAACTCCTTTAGGATAAGGATAATGTTTTGATAATCTGTATATTTCCATAGTGCATAGCCCCATAGTATAAAGCAAACTCCAGAAATACTAAACTTACGGGAAAGATCCCTAAGAGCCACACTGTTCTTTTAAATTCTTACTCTTTTTACCTCCTTGAGATTATTAGCATTTTTTTCTTTAAGTTTTAGATAATTTTGAATCATTCTCTCTTCAGAGTTTCTGTTCATGCAATCATTGCTGTCTTTTTTCCAAATTTGTTTGAAATTTGCTTTCTTAATATCTTAGGTGACATGTGTTATACTTTCTCAAGAATGCCCGCTTTGACAGAGTAACACTCGAGAATGACATACAGTCACATCTTCCAGTTACTGACATTTATACTTTCTTATTTGTCAGGATTCACTACACTCAGTTTCCAGTATTGCTTCATTAAACTTTGAAGAGATGAAATTGTTAATAAGAAAATCCAAATGTGTCATAAGCTTTGCTCTTTGTAGAATGCAGCTGCTAGCTGATACCTGATTAGTTGGTGTACTCAGTCACTACTATTGCTATTTCACACTTTGTCTCTGTCCTTTTGCTTAAAAAAGAGACAGGGGAGCAGTCTGCACTTTATTGCCAATTACTTAGAAAGACTTCTTCAAGTCAGGGGGAAAAAGTGAAATTAGTCTCATGATATAGCTACTGAAGTCAATCTTGTTTTTTTCCCTCCCCACCTCAGGGGCATAATCAACCCATTTCCTGCTTCAAAAGGGATCAGAGCATCTCCACTCCAGTGTATTCATATAGCTGAAGGGCATACAAAAGCTGTGCTCTGTGTGGATTCTACTGATGATCTCCTCTTCACCGGATCAAAAGGTGCTAGCTTCCTAGGGTTATTTAACAGGTTTTTTTAAAGAAATTACATTTTAACAGGCTTTGCAAAAAAAAAAAAAAAAAGTCAAACTGCTTAAGACCCATAAGAGTCTAAGAGATAATCTAGTTCAACCCCTGAATTACAGAAAATATAAAACCATTGCATATTTGGGAAGAAAATAATATCTGTGATGATGTTATGTAAATAGAATGTTGCGAGAATACATCTCCCTTTGGTAACTGAGCACCTAATGCATGCAAGGCCCTGAGTTTAGTAATGCAGTTTCTATGAACCTTTATAAAAGGCTGTTACAATATAAGGTGTGGTAAAAGAGAGTAAGGTGGGTAGCATTTCTCGAGCACTCGCTGTATCTGAGACGCTAGACTCTACATCTCATTTAATTCACACTACCACCCCAGTAAAATACATGCTGCAACCTCATTTTACAGATGTAGAAACTGAGGATTCAAGAAATTAAATAATTTTCCTAGAAAAACTTAGCTAGTGAGTGGAAGAGCCAGGATTGGAAACCTAGGTCTACTTGTCTCCGAACCTGCACTCTTACCCACTTTGGTACAATTGCAGGTAACTAGAAATCAATTGTTAATGGTTTGAGCATTTATGGACTAGGAGTGTTTTGATTTCAGAAAAGGGACAGATTATGCCAAGCTATGAGAAATAAGGAAGGCTTTGACAAGGAGGCATTTCGGATGAACCTTATAGGATGGTTTGCATAGTGAAGGGTAAGGATTGGCAGCCAAGATTACAGAACAACATGAGCAGAGACATGGAGGTACAAGTGGGTATGTTTGGAAACTGAATCCAACTGGGTTGAATAGGGGACTATATGTAAGAGAAGTGATGGACAGTGAGGCTAGAGAGAAGGAAGCATATACAGGAATGTGGGGCATTCGTAAAAGTTATTTAGTATTTAGGGATGTGGCAAGACTCAGTTTGATCCGTAAACATTTATTACTCATTGTCTGTGAGGGAAGTATAAGAATCTTGCTAGCATTTATGAACTGTAAATAATGGCAAGCAGTTCTCCCATTTAAAAATAATCTGCTCTATGAAAATGGGCTTCTTTTAATGATTCAATTTAAATTTATCTCTTGAGGATAATTAGGTAGTCAACATGTCAGAAAAACAAAATAGAATCGTTTTATGATTATGTTTTTGGGTCAAAAATAAAATCCGTCAGCCAGTGACCCCTGGTAAAGAAAGGTGTGTGTGTTTATGCATGTGGTTGTGTTGTGAGGAGGGAGGGACGCTATCAAAGCAGAATGTTTTGCCATCTTAAGTTCCGGGGCAATTTGAAACAAGATTCTTTGGATATGAGTATTTCAAAGTTTTGTATCAGTTTTTTTTAATACTGCATGATGCATATACCAGACATCCCTGGCATTCATCTGATGCTTTACCCCTACTTCTCCCTTGAACTGGCTGCAAGGGGTCAGGGATGGAGTCAGGATGCCTGGGGCAGATGAACAGAATAATCACTGTTTTCTTATTGCATTTCCTTCTCATAGGAGAGAAACTGTTTAAATACTTTTTACTATTAAGAGAACGTAATTTAGTTCGTATTGACAGCATTTCTCCCCCCCTTTTTTTTATCTGTTTATTTTAGATCGTACTTGTAAAGTATGGAATCTGGTGACAGGACAGGAGATAATGTCATTGGGAGGCCATCCCAACAATGTCGTATCTGTAAAGTACTGTAATTATACAAGTTTGGTCTTCACGGTGTCAACATCTTATATTAAGGTGTGGGATATCAGAGATTCAGCAAAGTGCATCCGAACCCTGACGTAAGTAACTTAAAGACAAGTAGCGCAACGGGGAGAAGTTCTTCACAGTATATAAGAAAAGATAGGACTATGAAAGCCTTTTTATTTATACCTGTCCACAAAGGATGTTCAAATGTTTATGGTAAGAACACAGTTAAAATAAAGGGGAAAAAACTATTGAGAAAATAAAATTTTCTCAGTATTAAACAGGGCAAGATAAATCATATTTGATCTGTGACTGAGTACACCTTTTACGTTTCCTTGCTCCCGAATACTAAGGTATTTTCATAGTATTTATTACTTGATGTAGTTAAATGATTTATATTACTTGCATCAAGTGAATACCACTCCTTGGAAAATGGCTCAAATCACCATTGTAGACAATTGAGAAGTATTTGTAATCTTTAATTAGCAGGTATTGAATAATTAATAGGTTTTTTTGGTGGGGGGAGAGGACTTACACTGTTTTGGTGTTAGCACAAATTTCATCACTGCAGGTTACGCTGGACAATTGGAGAATGAGTTTGTTTTCTGTGTCTGTAATCATATATGTCTTTAAATTGTAAAACAAATAATGATTCTTTTTGCTGTAAGATTGATGAACTGTTTTACATAATTGAAATTGAGGTGAACTTTGCTGGTTTAAATCAGAGAAGGGAGCATAGGAAAGGCTAATTTTTACTAAAATTGGGGATTTAGCATAGGGATTATTAACATTTAATAGTTTGTAAAGCAGGAATCATTAACATTTAAGGGCTAATTTGTATTTTGAGAACTACTGATTATTTATTATACTGAATGCAAGTCTCTTGAGGGAAATTTTATAGAAAAGGAATACTATCTTATGTTAGAAATTTTCCAATCCAGTGGACTCCCTAAAGTCAAATTTGAAAAGATAGATTGTAAGTTGATATTTTAGAAATTAGCTGAGAAAATGTTTCAGAATTTAAAAAATATATTTACCATTTAGAATTTATCTGAGGAAATAGAATTAATTATGTTAGAACCTTTAGTACACAGCAAATACTGCATGTATGAATGGGTTAAAGTAAACAAAAACTTAAAATAATATAAAAAGTTCTCAGTGTCTTTAATTCAAAAGGACAAATCTTTTAGACAACAGAAATATGGGTAAGCCTGGCCCTCAGGGTGCTCCTGGAAGCAGCAGGAAATTGAATTACCTTTGTGATGCTGTATCATTTTGTTGAGGTGTTTTTCTTTTCTTTTTGTCATCTAACCTTTCTGAATGATATGGTAGTTATCCCTGATTCAGGGCCTGTAATTCCTAGCTTTATAATAGACTTGCAAATTGTGTTTTAAGCCATGTCATCTTGTTTACTATGTGAATGTGAGGTGCTGTGCGAGGTTCTGGACATATGCTGACCAAAAAGGACACAGATCTTATTGTTGCCTATAGCCTGTTTCCTAGGAATTCAAGGAATTTTAAGCTGAGCTGTTATGCAGAAATGTGACTTGTTCTGCTTTGTTCTGCCTCTGTTAAGGTCTTCAGGTCAAGTTACTCTTGGAGATGCTTGTTCTGCGAGTACCAGCAGGACAGTAGCTATTCCTTCTGGAGAGAACCAGATCAATCAAATTGCACTAAACCCAACGGGCACTTTCCTCTATGCGGCTTCCGGAAATGCTGTCAGAATGTGGGACCTGAAAAGGTAGAATTTCAAAGACAATGCACTTCCTGCATATGGAAAATACAACTTTCAGGCATTAACATATTAATACATGTGAAATCTAATTTTTATGACCCCAGAAGTTAATGTAAAACCATGGGCTTTTCTCTTCAGTCCAACATCCCTAAAAGTTTTTTCTGTTCTCTTTAGCAAACTCACAACTTTCATTTCTTCTAAGTTCCTTTGTTGGAAAAAATAATGTATATGAAGGAAAATAGAATTGAAACCTTCACTTCTCTTAATGTTTCTCTACAAATTGTGTTGTTTACTAGGAAGAGACCAAGATTCTCATCCTAGTTTCACCAGTATCTTGACAGAATTACTTTTTGCAGTGTCATTTAAACATTTTCTATCTCAAATTTTTCAGTTTATAAACTTAATTTAACAAATGTGGGCAAACATCCTCAGAGTTTTGGTGAATATAAAATAAAATATTAAGAAGACAAAGTGGTTAAAAAGAAATAAAGATTGATAAATTGAAATGTAAGGCATTACACCTTTGGTTTGATTTTTATTTGCCATGAAATATGAGCTTTTATCCTTTAGTTGAGTGTTTATTTTAGTTTCTTTCCTAGTTCCTAAAATTTTGGCAACAATGCAATGTTGATTTATTAGTTAACAAATATTTATGCAACATCAATTTTGGCAGGTACTGCCCTAGCACTGTGATAGGTCTTAGGAATAAAGACTGAGCAAGACAAATGTGGTATCCTCCTTCTTAAAGCTCATGTTACAATGAGAATAAAGGCCATTAAACAGGCAATTACAGGGTACTGTACTGAGTAAAGTTTGCAATTCAGATAGTACAGGGTACTTCCCATCTGGAAGGGCTTTGTCAGTGGTAAATCAAAGGGATATTAGTTTGAGAAGGTTTGAGAATGACTAGTTATAGCTTATCACATTTCAACAGATGACTGAGAAAGTATAATAAACATAATTGATAGATAAGTAGAAGACAGGGAAAGAGAGGAACCGCAGTCCAGAGTACTGTTTTAGGAATAAAATATAGAAAACGATAAGCAGTGCTTGTTTAAGAAAATTAGAAAAGAAGTAAGGTTTCTTCTTGAAGGTCTTAAATTTGACTCACATGAGGAACACCATAGAGAAAGATACTCAAAATCATGACATAAGACAGAAAAGATGAGCTTGTGAAAATCTTTATACTTTTTATTATGCTGAAAAGTTAGATCCTTTGTGAACTGGTTGATTTCAGCAACATGATTAAATGTAGTTTCACTTTAACGAAGTAACTAAGAGAATAGTTTTCGAGAAGCTATTAAATACTCTGGAAGCCTAATACATCTCTATAGTCCAGCAGCTTGATTTGAGGTAGGACTGTGAAACAAAGGTTCATTGTAACCCCTGGATAATTGACATCAGACATTTTGCTACCAGTCAGATAAATGTTCTGGTCATTTTCATAACTTTGTAATAACTGGTGAAATATACCACCTATTTTCTGACATACATCTATGCACACATAGATGTATGTATGTATATATTTGCATATATGTATGAGTGCATATATGTACATTTGTATATGTGAGAATATTTTTGTGGATGTGTGTGTGTGTGTATAATAAAATAATTTTACTTTCTCCATATTGTTATTGATTAGGCAAGTTATATAGTGATATAGTTGTTTTAATCAAATTTCAAATTGGACTTCACAACATCAGTTATATGTCTATCAGATGTTTGGACATTTAACAGATTAAGGATTACCTGGATTTAGGTTGGAGTTAAAAATTAGTCATTAGCAATTTTTTGGACTTTTGCTGCCTTTTTGTTTACTACCTAAATAACATTAGTCAGTTTTAAATAACTTCTTTAGGACTCTTCCCACTCTAATAGATTAGTTTGGCCATTTTTGTACTCTAATTTGGACAGAGTTGCATAGAGGTGGAGCTAAAATAATAATAAAAAATAGTGAATTATTTTATCAAAGAATGTAGATTACTTATATTGAGAGTTAGCCTCTGCATGCTCAAAAATATTTTCCAAAAAAATTATTTTTCTTTTTTTTTTTAAAGGTTTCAGTCTACAGGAAAGTTAACGGGACACCTCGGCCCTGTAATGTGCCTTACTGTAGATCAGATTTCCAATGGACAAGATCTCATCATCACTGGCTCCAAGGACCATTACATCAAAGTGTGTATCACAGGATTGTTGAATTCTATTCTTAAATGATGTTTGTGAAGTATTCAAACTCATTCACCCTTTCTCTTAATTTTCTTTTTTCCATTTCTATCCTTTGCTTTCCCTTTCTGATCGTTTCTTCACTCATAGCTCCTAATTGTATCATCTTAATTAATTATGTGTTCTCCTTTTTGATAGAAGATAGGTTGGGAGGGCTGCTAAAGATTTTAACACAGTCATCCAACTAGTGCTTGAGTCTCACTGTCACCATCTTTTATACTGAGCAGATTATGGCCTCCAGACTTTATGAACTTAGCAGGTAAGGAGAGGAAAGATGATTAGTTTGATTCTGGAAATATTACATTTGAGATACTAATAGAGGACATGATCATGTAGGCCAGCAGGCCAGTAGAAAGGCAAGCCCAGGGCTTATGATCAGTTATGACTAGAGATGTCGGTTTGGGAGCCATTCAAATAGAGGCAGGTGTTCAAGGAGTTAGAGTAGATGGCATGGCCAAAGAACAGAGAAGGTAACAGGAGTCAGCCTTGGGAAGTACTGTAAGCAGCAGTAGGAATGAAAAGAGGATACAGCAAAGAAGAGTGATAGGAAGAGTTTAAGTACTCTTTCCAGAAGCTTTGATTAAGAGATGAGAAATGGGTTAGTGACTTAAAAATAGAATGGATAAAGGGAGAGGATCTTGTATTCAGTAGACTTGAGCATGTTTATATGCTGAGGAAATGGGCTCAGTGGTGAAGAAAAGTGAGAAGAGTAAAGTGGTGGCAATTGATGAGGGTGGGAGGAGAAGTTAGAATCAGATCAAAGATGTGAACCTTGGGGAGAAGTAAGTACACTCTGGCATCTAAAAAAAAGGGAAGGGTGAGAGAATGTTTGAAGATAAAAGGAAACTTTGTAATGATGGGAAGGATCTAAAAAATATGGTTTTGATCATGTTAGCTTTTTCAGGAAATCACAAGGTCAACAGCTAAGAGAGACAAGGGCCACTGAGGGGAGTGAAAGGTTTTGAAATAGCAGCTTCAGGGCCATTTGAGATGACCACCAGGACTGCGGAGCTTCCTAATAGTGTTTAAATAACAATCATATCAATTAGTTACATTTCAACTGGATTGATATGTAGTATTTTTATAATCGAACATACCATTTATACACTTATACATGGAAAAATTGGTTGCCTTTCTTAAAAGCTTACAGACATGTAAGCATGTGACATGCAAACAGAACTAGTGTACAAAAGGACTCAGGTTCATCCAGGGTCATTTATACCAGGTTGATTTAGTTAACTTAGATAAACATTGTAACAAAACAAATCATGTCTGGTTAGTGTATGAGTACATGTCTGTGTGTTTCTATGAAGGAACACATATACGAGCTTGTTTGTAAGTTAAATAGGATGACTGCTTTCTTTCTAATTTTTTTAGATGTTTGATGTAACTGAAGGGGCTCTTGGAACTGTGAGTCCCACCCACAATTTTGAACCCCCTCATTATGATGGCATTGAAGCACTAACCATACAAGGGGATAACCTATTTAGTGGGTCCAGAGATAATGGAATCAAGAAATGGGACTTAGCGCAAAAAGACCTTCTACAGGTAATGTAAAACCTTTTCGTGTAATGGAGTGGGTACTTCAAAGTCATTCAGTTGTCTGTATAAGAATTTGAAGAGGCTCTATGGAGAGCTTCATTGTTTAGGGATAATGTTAATGACAGCTTCCTCTTAAGGAGTGTTTCATCATCCTCCACCAGATTTACTAATAACGAGAAGGGCAACATTCAATATTTCATAATACCTCCTGAATAAGAGGAGGATAGACACTGATAAGAGTTGAAAGATCTGGGATTGCCTCATGTGTGTGTTCACTAAATAAAATCAGTTTTGGAGTGGAGCAGTTACAGTTTATCATTTTGTTTTGTTTTTGTTTTAGGTACACATATTCCATAGATTACCACATTTAGCTGAGTCAGAGTAGTGTAATGATTCCTCATCTTACAAGAGCATCTTCATGCATCCAAAGTAATAGTTCTCTCATTTTCTGTAGAACAATAGTTGGGGTGAAGTGTTGTATCAATACAACCAAATATTGGTGTCTTTTCCTAATTCCCAGGGGAAGAAAATAGTTAACGGATGAAATCGCTCTCAATTTCAAGCTTTTCCTTACACATCTATGGGTGTGTATATATTGCAGTTGCTACCACTTCCCTACTCTCAACAAGACAAAAACAAAATAGAGAGGTAGCATGAATATTAATAGGAAAAAACCTTGGCAACAGATGAATAAATTGCATTCAAAAGCTTTTCTTTTATAGACAACATTCATGGTTGTAACTTTTATATTGTGCATATAAATATATTTATGCATAAAATATAGTCATACAAGCTGATCTTATAATTATTGTTTGCTTATTATGAAACATATACATTAGCTCCAGTCTTCTACGAAAAGCTTTCGGCCTTTATGTTTTCTACCAAATGTTTAAGTCAGTGATTTTATGAGGCAGTCCTTATAGTCTACATACCAGGTTGTCGTTTTCAAACTTTTATTAAGTAAATTTTGGAGAAAGGTGAGATATTTGCTGCCCATGAAGAGGATGTGATGTTTGAAAAATTGTACATACATATACTTTTCAGGTTTTTTAGATTCTATAGATTTTTAACATCATAGGCCTTTATTATTGTTAACACTGATGATAATTAGTGAGACAAATTGGGGAGCAAATTACAGATTTATTTCTTTAAATTACTAAGCATGATTGTGTAGAAAATAATTTTTACAGTTTCCAGGCCATTCAAAGTTCCAAAAATTGGGTTTTGTCAGTAAAAATGTATGTAACTTTTTTTGGTGTGAGAATGTCCATTTGGAAGGCTCTCCTTAAGCTGCAGATTTCTCTTTATTTTTTCTCTCAGCAAGTTCCAAACGCACATAAGGATTGGATCTGTGCCCTGGGAGTGGTGCCAGGCCATCCAGTTTTGCTTAGTGGCTGCAGAGGGGGCATTTTGAAACTCTGGAACATGGATACGTTTGTGCCAGTCGGAGAGATGAAGGGTCACGATAATCCTATCAACGCCATATGTGTTAATTCCACCCACATTTTTACTGCAGCTGAGTAAGTTTTTCCTTATGTGATTCTCCTCTGTATTGATTACTTGTGTTCAGATTTAACAACTATTTTAACAACAACTAAGTTGTAAATATCCTGAATGTAGAACATGAAAACCCTGAAATCCCTCTTTTATTACAGTCCTTCTGATGTCTGCTCTAAGACATCTCGTTTATATTTTCTGATGTACACTGTGGGCACTGAGTGTAGGCTTCCCAGAGTACATGGTGATATCGTGTTACTCCTGTGTTAGCACCCTGCATATACGAGTAAGTCTGCTGCCAGATCTCCCCCTGATGATTTTTCAAAAAATAAAATCATTCATAGATGACTAATTTCTAAAGATTTGTTTTTCCCCAGAAAGACCACAAACTTGCCATTTTTGCACATTTAGAACAAGTCATTTGAAAAATCTCTTTGTGCCTCTTCCATCTCCCATTAAAATATAAGTACATAGTGATAACATCGGCTTCCTCTTGTTGATTGATTCATTTTGTTCATTTATTCCTTCATGATGAATCTCCTATGTGCCAGGCACTGTTCCAGGCTCTTGGGAATAAAGAGGTGGCTACAACAGATCCAAACCCCAGTTTACATTCTAAGGAGAGAAGGGAAGAAAATTAAATAAGTAAATACTAGTGAAATGGTGACATGTGCTATGGAGAACAAGAAGGCAGGGAAAAAGAATGAGACTATCATGGGGCGGGGATTACACAACAGGTGGTCAGCGAAAGCCTCACTGATAGTGACATGGAAGAAGATGCTTAAAGGAGGTGGAGAGATGCTGTGACCATAAAAATGACATAGTCTGTATATAAGTACTTTGGAAAGGAAAGCATATGTAGTATAATGTGAGGTGTGGGTCTCATTCAAATAAAACGTAATTTCTCATGAAAATCAATCTTGAAAATCTCCCTGCGTTATTTGTGTACCCATCGTATTGCTTAATTTAATTTGAGTACCTTCTTGATTCATGGAGCCCAAATGCACGGTTACCCTGATTTTATTCTTAAACCTCTGCTGTATTTCTGTGGCATTGCTCATTATTTGTGCTGTTTATATCGAATCCCTCTTTTCATTTAGAGTTACTTTCTTTTCATCTCTAAAGTACATCAAAGCCAATTTATTTTGTGTTTTTCTAAAGTTCTTGCCTTCGGTGCTTCAGGGATGCTATTTCCACAATGCATTACTTTTTAAAAAGTCACCACTTTTGTTTATTCTCTTGGAAACTTTTTTGTTTTTTTGATAATTCATTGGAAATAACTTAATACCCTTCAGAGCTATAATGCTATAGAAATATTGTGTATCACTGAGGTGTGGTGGGTGATGTGATTTACTGTATTTACCTGTCTTCCATGATATAGTCTTACTTTTGAAGACCTAAGCTTTTTCTCAGTTTATTCATAGTGTATCAGATGGAAATGTATTTACTACGTAACTTAAAAATGAGGAAAATAGCCAAGGATATCAGAAGGCCTATTTTCAAATTAGTTCTGCTTATTTATTTGCTATTTAACAAACATTTGTATACTGCTTAGTACCTATCAAGCATTGTTCTAAGTGCTTTTCAGGCATTAACTCATTTAGTTTTCATGAGAACTCTAGAAGATAAATATTCTAATCCCCATTTTACAGGTGCTAAACTGAGGCAATTTATAATTTGAAACCTTTGTGTAGTAATTCCACCCTATCTGATATTTCTGGATCTGTTGTCACTGATTGATTTTTCTTATAAATGTGTCTCAATTTTCCTGCTTCTTTTATGTCAAGTAATATTTTATTGGATGTTGAACATTATAATGTTGTATTTTGAGTATCTGGATTTTGTTGTATTTCTTTCAAGAGTGTTGGGCTTTGTTTGTCAGACAGTTAAGTTACTTTTCAGCTTTATCTTTTTGGGGCTTGTTTTTAAATCTTCTTAGATTTCCACCGAATATTCTAGGTGTTTGATAGCTCTCTACTTTATTGGTCAGGGCTTGAATGTCTCATAGCCTTCTGTGAACTCTGGGAATTGTTCAACTTATAGCTCACTCACTAATAGTTGTTTTTTGGGCTGGCCTGGTAGTCTTTTTCTTTCATGTGCAGCTTAACAGTCAGTCAAAGACATTAGGGGACCCCTATGTAGATTCATGGAGTTCTTTTTCCATAGCTGCATAGTTCTTTCTGCATAACTTGCTCCTCTTCTCTACTTGGTCCTGCAAATTCTAACTACTTCACTCTTCCGAGATTTCCATTTCTATGTCTCCAACTCAATGATTCTCTGGTTTTCTGTTGGGATTCCCACTCCCTGTGCTGTAGTCTGGTAAGTGATTCCGGGCCAAAAGCCAGAGGTGTCATAGAGTTCACCTTCTTTGTTTTCCTTTTCTCAGGGATCATAGCTTTATTGCCCAATAGCCCTTAATAATATGAGCTATTTTAATAGCATTATATAATATAAGTATATAAGATATACTTATGGGACATTGTGTATTTTTACTTATATCTATTAAAGACTTCTTCAGAAAATGTTTCCATGATAGGTAATTCTAAGAACTGTTTATCTTTCTGCCTCTTTTCTCACGTTCATTTTTAATTTATTGTTTCGTAGTGACCGGACTGTGAGAATTTGGAAGGCTCGCAATTTGCAAGATGGGCAGATGTCTGACACAGGAGATCTGGGGGAAGATATTGCCAGTAATTAAACATGAATGAAGATAGTCATAAACTAAATACTGTGATAATGCTGTATATGTTCTTTATGGAAAATATTACCCTACATTTATTAGGCAAAAATTTATGAATGGGATTAACTGGAAAATATATCTGAATCCAACTGCTGACTATAAGTGGTATGCTAATAAAATTGTGTACTATCCTGTGTGCTTAATATCTCCCAATATATATATATATTCTATAATTGATGTACTGCTTGATTCACACTTTTATTGTGGCTGGATTTTTGTGACTAGCTATAAAAAACACCTTCAAATTATTTGAATTATAATATGTCTGCTTTTGTGACAGTCAGAAAATGCACCTGGAATATAATGCAACCCACTATGAACTCATTTATGTAGTGTGTTCAGATAATTTATGTATTTAAACTTATTGGAAATATTACTCAAATTGTGGTCTGTTTGTCTGGTATTTATATCAGTCTATGGAGGGTTTCCAAGTTTCAAAACTCTTTTAATGTAATGGAAAAACAATAAGATGAGAATATCGTTGATGATTTTTCATGAAGAGGGGTTGTCCTTAATCTACTAACCAAGAATGTCAAACAGTTTGTGTTAAATGTTGATTAAATGTTGACGTTTACTTGTATCGACCAAAGTTTTGCAGCTGTGCTATATATATATCCTGTGCTCAGGACTAAAATGCCGTTAAGTTGTTGTATTAGTGCTGTGCATACATTCTGTGATGGAAACATTTTTGATGTCTTAACAGAATATATTTTAATCTATTTTCCTATGGAGTTATTTCTGTTATCACCTTTTAATTTCATTTTATTTAATAGTAGTATTTCCTTACCCTTTTATCTATTTTTTTTATATGCTGCTAAATATATTTTAAATACACTATGTTTGCAAACCTTGGTAGCTATGATGAAAACTGTATCATCTGTGGTGGGAAAAACTATGTAAATAGGTAGATTGTAAAGAGAGAATGTCTTACATTGTAACCGTATGAATTTTTAAATGCTGTAGATTGGATTTTGCAAAAGGATGTATAATTTATCTGTCTGCTCAGATTAATTTGTAAATTCTGCAAGTTTAATTTTTATGTAGATGGTATAACATTTGAAAATATTGTCTTGTGATTTTTTTTTCCTTGAAAATATTTGCTTGTAAATGAAAGCGGAGGTAGGGCTTAAATAAACATGTTGCTATGAATTATTTTTATTCTATTGTTCTTTTTTAATATGAAAATGGCCAGTGTTTATAAAAATTTGTTTTATCTGTGTGCTACAAAGAAAGGCATTTTGTTGTTATCCAACACTTCACATGAATTCCTTCTTTTGCTCAATAGACCAATATATATATATATATATATATATATATATATATATATATATATATATATTTGTTAAGCTGAGCCATCCTGCCACCTGTTGGCAGCTCAGCGGCTTCTCAGCTGGGGCCGGGAATCGAACTGCTGTTGCTCAGAGCTCAAACTCTTGAGCGAGCTCTTAACCAACTGAACCACTCGGCCGGCCCCAACAAAATATTTTTGAAAAATGTTAACTATAACCCAATCTTGATGAGCCAAGGAAGTTCACTATTTAAAGGAATTAAATCAAACTATAATTTAGGGATTTGAACATAGATGGCAAAACAAATAAAAATTATTCACATAAATGTTAGGACAATAGTGACCTTGGTTACTTAGAGAAGAAATGGAGGGAATGGTGACTGGTGGGTGTTGCAGGAGGTAAGCTGGGGGTGTGCAGGTGCTTCTGGGGTCCTCGTGATATCTTATTTCTTGACCTGGGTCCCAGGTGATGTGTTAAACTATATATATATATATATATATATATATAAAATAATGTTTCTCTTTCATATATATGTTTCTCTTTCATATATATATATATATATTTCTCTTTCCTATTTTTTTAATGTGTGTTAGATTTCAGAGTCAAATGTTTGTAAAACCTTTTAAAGGTGGGATTTTCCAATAATGAGAAACTCAGGTACTTTGTAATTTTGCCTCCTTCCCTGAAGAAATTTACTATGCCAAAACTTGACAGACAATGTCAGGACTATTTTGAATTTTAGTACTCTCAGAGTGTTTATTTTCACAGGACTGCTGCTCAAAAATAAGAGTTATCTTTCTAGTTTCTAACCATAAAGAGATGCTCAACTAATTTTAAAAGTCCCAGCTGCCATTAATCTTCACTCTTTTTTCGCGAGGTTAATAATTATAATAGGAAATGTTTGCTGAGCATTTACTTCCCTCTTTGTTTGACTGGGTGTCCTCTGAAATAGGGGTAATCTAAGACGTCATTGATGGTCAGAAGCACCCGATTTCAGAGATGTTTAATTGTTAAAAAAAAAAAAAGTAGTGTCCATCCTCGAAGTGGTGGACTATATCCTAGAATTGGTGCTGCACAGCATTGTGGGGGATTCTGCGAGACAGACAGTGACACAATCACATATGGCGATAATATGATTCTAAACCCCTTCTGATCTGTTTTTGTGTAATTTAGATTTAGGAAAAGTAAAGGCCACCTTTCTCAGACTTTTTTCAGCTTGGGTTCCACCTTTAACTTTGCTTCCCCCAAGCATATGAACCCACAGGCTATAATTTGCCAAACCCTGCTCAAGACTGTTACATGCAGAGAGGGAGTGGTTACAGGGCTTGCGTGCAGTGCACAACCCAAGGTATGATTCACTTTTAGACAATGTAAGAACAAGTTTTGGGTAGATGGCAGTAAATCATCTTATTCTTAAAAATATAAGAATACAATAATCATTTCCATCATATGGAAGTAAAAAGTGTATTCAGGAAGGCATTTTTTTCTAATTTGACAAGGACGCCTCTAGGCTAGTAAAAGCCAGCCCTCGTGGTTAACGCTCTGATCTCCTCTGCCTAAGGGTAACACATTCCTTATTAAGAAAGGTCAGCTCAAAAACAATTTCTTCCGTTAAAAATATTGGTTGCTCAGGAAACTCTGGCTTCATGTAATTTTTTCATTAAAAATTCCAAATTTTGAGCACCACAATGTTTTCTGTCACATATGCCTAAATAAATAAAAGTGATGCAAAAAAAAAAGTCAGCTATTTAAATGGAAGGATTTGGATAAGATGGCATATTAATATTTCCTCTTAGATTAATAACTCATTATTCTTGGAATAACTGAACTTTCTGATAAGAATGTTGCTTAATGGAGATTTTCTTGTGTTTTCTTTGGGCTCCAAGTGGATGGCACGGCTGGCATCGGGCAGGACACTGTTATGGCACTTGCCTTCTATTATTTTCAATAAGCTAGTAAGAAGCCCGTAAGTGTGCACTTGGACAGTGTGTAACCGCAGTACTTGCCTCTTTGACCCACACCTGATGGCAAGAAAGTAAAATGAAAGCTGAATGTAAACTTTTAGAGGATCCTAAGTCTGGATCTAGTAGACATTTGCCACTCTTGGATGTCTTAGCACCTTTGAACAATTTCCTATGTTAGAGATATTCCCGCCTTGTGAATTCCACCTCTCATTGTAGGTGACAGTTTCTCATTTCCTCCACTTCCCCTTGCAGCCTGGGTGGCATGTGACTTCGATTTGTCCCATTAGAGTCACTGGCAACAGACTTTGAATTGGGAGCTCGTGACACAAAAATGTTGACACCTCACTGAATCCCTGTGGCAGGGTCATGGGAGCTAATGCTGTTTTCCATGGAAGCAATGGAAGAAGTTTGAGTGTCAGTATCGATGGTGCAAGCTATGGAGCCTGCACCTAAGTGCAGAAAGAAGCGACCGGTTGTGAAATATGATTCTGGACATCCTTCCTGGTTGTGTAGCCTCCAAACCCCCATTCTCTGGCCCCTCTGGAAATTGTACGCATTGCCTAATAATCTCCAGTAAATTCCCTTTCTGTTTGAACTAGCAGAGTTGGTTGCTGCTGTTACTTGCAGCTAAGAACACCTCCTTATCAACTGAATCAAAACCCAATACAAATGAGGATGATCTGATGGAAACTGAGTTTCAGCAACAGAGAACAAATGACTCTAGACCCTTTTCCTTCTTCTGACGTGTTCACTTTAAACATCTCCCTGGATTAAAGTAGCCTTATCTATTTCACACTCAGGAGAGACTCAGAAAAATCTCCAAAAGGGGTCTGAGATTCCAGGTCCTTCCATAATAAACATTTTTCTATCGCATGGATTATTAATATGTTTTGACTATTTCCCTTAAGCAGGGCATGTGAAGATCACTAGGTCCTTACGAGATGACTAGCTGCTTGGATTGAGGGTAAATACATCTGCAGTCCTGTGCTTAAAGTGCCTTCATTTGGTATTGTTGCTTTCTTGTTGTATTTCATAGGCAGTTTTCCATAAATTGGTCAGGAAAATCTTATCCTTTTGCATCCCAAATAAGCCAAAGGTTGTAATTGGATTTCTCCTTGACCCCATCATTTTGCCTTAGGGAGAGTATTTCATAGGCCCTGAACACTCCCTGTGTTTACTGGAACAAGGTCTGGTAGTTCCTTGCAGGGGCTGGCTATAGGGTGGAGGGTGAGAAATGGCCAACTGCTCTATCACCATGTGAGCAATAACATCTTGGCAGCTCAACTGAGTAATTAAAGATTCCCACCTTCAGGTAGAAAAAAAGGGTCCTATTTAGAAATTGTTGTGCATTGTATTTGATAGGGAATAATGGGCACGTGAAAACTATTTGGCTGGTCTCAGTGTTCTGAAAAGTTTGTCTTATTACAAAAAAATAATAATAATAAAGTACAACCTAACTTAGAGAGGAGAGGTAGTCACAAGTTGGGCAGACTCCAAGACACAGTATATTTTTCTCAAACTCTTAGTTCAGAAGTTCATCCTACCTTTACCTGGTCCATGTGATCCTGGGAAACCCCAGGAATCATTCGGATGAGTCTCAGCCAGCGCCTCCCCTTTAGCGTGCAGGAATAAGAATCACCTGCAAGGGCTTGTTAAGGCACAGGTTGCCTGGTCACACACCCAGGTTTTCTGATTCAAAGGAGTTTGCCTTTCTAACAAGTTCACAGGTGACACTGATGCTGCCTGGGAAGGGGCTCATGCTTGCTTTGAGAAGTACAGGTATGAAGTCCATTCTATTCCCCTTTATAGTGTGGTTCAGAAACCTAGTTTAGACTAGTCAAAACCCGGCATTCCCCTGGCAGGGATTATCCATCTAGGTGAGGACTCCTTGACCTAGATCCCAGGTCTGTTGAAGAGAAGGGTTGCTACTGTACCACGACTGGAGAAACTGATTGCACACTCCCCCTGGAGCAGTTCAGCAAGGATGTGGCTCCATCTGCTACTGGAAGCCATCTATGACCACACAGGAATCCAGCTTTGGAATGATTACAGTGACATGAATGTCAGAGCAGGCTGACCTCAGGTCTACCAAAACCCGGGACCCCCCATTCTGTGAGATGAGAAATACTCTTATTGGTAAATATGTCTGAGCTGGGTTTTCTTTCCCAGCCATTGAAAATACCCTGATTGAAACAGCGTTACCCAGGAGACAGCTGTTATACAGGAAGTTAAGTAAGAGGCAGGTTGAAGGAATTTGAGGATTGGGCCAAGTAGAAGCTTTCTTGAAAGTACAATTGATCCTTGAATTATGTGGGTTTCAACGTGCAGGTCCACGTGGATTATTTTCCCAATAAATACAGTCAGCCCTTCCTCTATCCATGGGTTTTACATGCAGGATTCGCATGGGAGATTCACCAATTGCAGAGTAAAAACTATTTTTGCGTTCCCAACCTCAGAGCAAAAACTAGTTTTGCATTCCCAACCTCAAATTCTCAGCCTCCAATCAAAATGCTGTTTTCAGCCGGCAGTTTGTTGAATCCGCAGATGCGAAGAGCCGACTGCAGTCAAAAGTTATAACCGGATTTTCCACATCGTGGCGGTTGGCACATTTAACCTCCACCTTGTTGAAGGGTCAACTCTACCATGATTGAAAGTCTTGGACTGGCTTTGATCTACCTTTATCTCAGGTAAACAGAAAACTGAAGGTTGTTCTCCCTCTTTTTCTCTGAGAAGTGAAGGAGGGACAGAAAGAGAATTACAAACAGTAATGAGTGACCAATCAGGGGCCAGATTCTAACAAACCTTGTGTGCTGAGTTAAGGAGTTTGAACTTTGGCCCACCACGGTGAGGCCGAAAGAGACTTAAATATGGTAATAACAAATTACTTGGTAGTGCTGGG